TAAACAATAAAAAATATACATATTTAAAAAAAATATTTAAGTTTAACAAAAATTTTACTTCAAAGGCTGTTTTTCGAAAACTCAGTCGTCATAAGAAATGACGCTTTTTTTGCGAATAATATGTTATTTTTATAACTGCTGTGAATTTGCATCAGTTACTCTTGACCATATATGGCAGTACTTTTTCGTTTCGTTACTTCTACCACCGGTACAAGTAAAAAGTACGTACTTTTACTTGTACTTCGTTACTTTTTAAATTTAGTACTTCTACTTGTACTTTCGTTACTTTTTTAGGGTGAAAGTACAAGTATTTGTAACGGAAATATCGATAAAAAATCGTTACTTTTTTCTAAAACTCGGTAAGCTTTCTAAAAAAAAAGAAGAAAAAAAAATTAAATAAAAAAAAATCCTTATGTTTTTTTAATTTATAAAATTAATGTTCAATATATATGCATTCACAGCTAACTTCGTGTTTAAATACCTTCCGTTTCAACTTATACTGCACATTCAATTTTTTTTTTACTAGCTCAAAGATCACAAAGCTATCTGTGTTTGCTTTGTTTATGTTTGTGCTTTTAAAACGCGTTTCTAAAGAGCAAAGCAATTTTAAATCAATGGTAATTTAAATAAATAAAAATAATAAACTAAAAATTAAAATCAATAGATAAAATTTCTTTTTCGCGCAAATCCATAAAAAGTTTGATAGTAAAATTACATTTGATTTTAAAATTATATTATACGATTATATTATAAAATTATATTATAATATTCTTCCAAATTTAAAAATAAATTAATATCCATAACTTTCAAAATTAAAAATAAATTACTATCCATAACTTTCAAAATTAAAAATAATTAAATAAATAACAACAATTTTGCAAAAACATTAAAGAACACAAGAATATTACTCAATAAAATTTCAAGTTACTTTGAATTTTCGATTTCCTAGAAATGTACTTTTAAACCGTTACTTTTTTTGTTTAGTACTTGTACTTGTAATTGTACTTTTTACTCGTTACTTTTTAAAATAAGAACTTTTTACTCGTTACTTTTTTTAAAACTACTTGTACTTTTACTCGTTACTTTTTAAAAGCAACGTTGCCATATATGCTCATGACTGTTGGATCAAGTTTAGCCTATCTAAGCCAGCGCTGTCTATGGTTGTTTTGAAACTGGCGCAAAACGTCAAAAGGGAGAAAGGCCACAGTTTCGAGAAAATGGAAAGCGTTTGTTGTCTAATTTTAGACCATTTAAAAAATTACTCCATTGCTGCATTACCTGGCTCATAAAAATTTTCAAAAACTGAGAATAAGGCAGTGATTTTGATATATTTCATGCAGGTGGAAATATTTCTTTCCTTTTCACTATAAAAAATATTTCAACTTTTCTGCCACATTTATCACAGGATCAATAATACTCAGTATACAATTAAATGCTTTGAAAACATTGGTAATAAATTTTTATTTCACCACTAGAAAACATTTTCTACTTAGCATTCACATTTTAACAATGGAGCTATAATGTTCTTGTGGAACGAGAGTGTTCCAATCAATAGAACAAGCGTGTTCTGATCATCCTGTAAAAACTATCATTCTTCTATCATCACCACCCAGTTATTTATCATCTTAGCTTCTTTAAGTTAAAACTATGGGCGGCATCCGGTTAAATTGCAGGACAGGTAATCTATAAACCTTAAATCAATCTAGCCGGTGATGATTTAATAACAAGCTCTGTCAAAATCAGGCTGACAAGTGTTTAATTTTTAAGGTGTGTTAACTTCAAAAGTGGATTTCACCTTCTGTAGTTAATTCTTTCATTTATAAACTTAATTGCAATCTGTAATATCTATAGCTATTTGGGTGTTTTCTTTTCAATTCTATTCTTAAAAATTAACATTGCAAACGCTTAACAATCTGGTAGCGTTAAAGAAAAATATAATAATTTTAATTGTAATATATTTCTCAAAATATCGAGAAATGATTGAGAGAAATTATTTAATTTCCTCATCATTGAAGAATTTTCATTCTGTTACTACTATTGATATTGCTACATATTTCTGTGTATTCTCAGAAAAAAGAATCATTTCATCATAGAAAACTCTTTTCTGTTCTTTGATATTTCTAAACTATACATTGCTCTACCAGTTATGAAAGGTGATCTTTTAACCAGAGAAAACTCTGAAATCTGTTCCTGTATTAAAATTTTTAAATTAAACGAATATCTAAATATTAAAAAAAAAAGAGTTTATTTATCAGTATTGCTTATATATTAAGATTTTTACATCATATGTTTCTCTGCTAGATCAGAAAAGTTATCTTTTAACCATAGAAAGCTCTTTTCTCAGTTCTTAGGATAAGATTGTTAAATTATAAGAATCTCCAAACACTCATAAAAGTAATAATTTAACTATAGAAACTATTGCTATTGTTACTTTTGATCTCATTATATAGTTTTTTTCTGTTAAATTGTAAAATCATAATAGTTAGAAAAAATGCACCATTACTTTGAAGCATGCTTATTAATAGTTTTATTCACGCATTTTAGAAAGAAATGGAAACTCTTAAAAAATCATTTGTATTTATTTTTAAATCCAATTTATAAAAATGAATTTGCTTAAGACTGCTTACTACGTCCTAGAGTTCGGGTAGCAAAATAGTATAATATCTGAAATAAAAATCAATCTATGTATACCTATATCTATGGATAGATATGTCTATGGATATATCTGTGGATAACCATTTGCAATTAATTTTGGGTTCGAACAAAAGCAAATTTTGTCTGAACATGAACGTGTGTTCTCATGTTCGTTTGCTCTTGAAGACAAACAGCATTCATTTGTTCTTGAATCAAAAAATTTTGAGATCTTTACCAGTAAATGCCTTTTTTGTGAATGTAATTTGTTTAAAAGCACTCACAATATTTTTTCACTTATGAACATCTGAATTTTGAAATTATGTATAAGTATCCTAAAAAACCAGTTTAAACTCCAAATAAAACGCTTTTTTATTTAATGCAGAAATATTTATCTTTAATAATAAATTAAACATGTTTCAATTATACGTGGAACAGCACAAAGTAGTAAATTACAACTGCGTATTTAGGAGTACATTGGTACTCATTCGATGGTGTTTTCAATTCCAGTTTAACATAAATATGGCTGAATTGGTGTGAGACAGTTGATATAATGCTTGGTGGGGCAATTTCAGGTATTATTCTATTCGACTTAAAGAAATAAAATGTGAGAAAGAAGTCCAGATGCTTTAAATTACATTATCAGGAACCAATTCTTGCGACAAATAGTACCACATCACCTGTTTAAAATACAATTTGCACGTGTTTACTTCATGATTAAGTAAACATTTGTGTTCTAATTACGAAATTTTTTATCTGGTGTTTAAATGTTCCCAATCTCATGGTCTTGTTTGCCCTGAGAAAAAAGTATGCTCAAAGCTAACATGGTAAAATTTAACATGTTTCTAGCTCTGTAGGACCAATAAAAAGCTCACTAATTTTTACCGAAGCTCCTTGAGAGTGTTTTTGGTAAATTAACAGTAAATAACGTTTCATTATATGCGTTAAAATTTGGTATTTTTTCATGATGATGAGGGATGGTTTTTCATGAGCAAGGCATAAAAATTTAATTTAGTTTTTGTTCATGATTAGTTAAAAAAAATACTTTCTGCAACTGAATCGTAAGCATAGTTCAGTTAAATTAAATTAAGCATGAATCATATTTTGCATTGACTCCTTAATCCATCAAAGTTTATTACTAAGCCAAAGAGGGACACCCACCGTACATGTATGGGACACTCCCACTCATTCCTTTGTCAGTTGTAATTGCTTTATTCCATGAAGATTGAAATGAGTTTGGGAACCTCCCCACCTGTTGCCTTTTTCAGGACAAACAAAAGTAAACACCATTTAGTCTTCTTGACAGCTAGCAATTTAGAAACTTTCAGCAAACAAGAGAGCGTGATTGTGGCTGATTTTGACATTTGGAGTATGCATTATTTATATCACTGTATCAGGTAACATGTATTTTGATTCTAAAAATTTAGTAATTTTAAGCTTTTAACTATAATTGTAATTTTTTTCAACAGTTATGTTAGACTAAACTATTTCTTTTTGAGTACTGACCACCTGCTAAATTTTTGAGTTATTTCCTTAATTATTTGCATCTAGTAATTAAGCAGATAGTTTGTTTTACTATATCAAGTAACAGGTATCTTAATATCGAAAATTTGATAATTTTAACTATGATTTTTTTAACATTTATGTTAGACTAAAATATTTTTTTGTTTGAGTATTGACTACTTGCTTAATTATTCAGTCATTTGGTTAATTATTCGCATCAAGTAATTGAATAGATTGTTAGTTCAACTGGTAACAGGCATCATGATATCAAAAATTTCTTAATTGTATTGCTACTTTTTTTAAGATTTTAATTAAATAAAAAGTACTTTTTTTTAATGTTGATCACTGCGTAAATTTTTGTGTTATTCGGTAAATTGTTTAATCTAGATATTTGGAAGCCTTAATAAACTTCCAGAGATTTAATGGCATGAATTAAGTCATTACATTAAAAAATCTTAATATAGCATTGACCCTTAAAGAAATTTTTTTTTTTAAAAATCATCAAAAAGAATAATTTTTTTTTCGCTAACATACATCTCTATGCATTTTTCTAATTCCAAATTTATACTCTAACATAATGACATACATTTCAGTTAATGTGAACAATGTGCTTCTCGTCGTTTACGAATTCATTTCATATTTTTTCATTCATTTAATTAAAGGAAATATACCTAAATGTACACAAAGAGTTAATGCTTACCAATAACGGTTAATTAAATTTTCAAAGCAAAATGATTACTCCAAATTAATTATTGTATTTTCATATATAAATTTTCTTGCATAAATGCTGTCTGATCACATTTAATGCAGACATAATTTTTTTTTTCTTTTTGCAATGATGTAAAACATTTGTTTTTCTGTTGCAGGTCTGAATGCAGAACTCCGATATGTGGACAATGGTACTGTCAATGACTATGCACTAGGATTTTCTGTTATGGTTCCAGACCCAATCTGGGACCTCTATTTCACTTGGCAGACTATAAGAAACACCCCGGTAAGAAATTATTGTTTTTTTTTTCTTTTTTTATAAAAAAATTGCTTTAAACCAAAATAAAATTATCTTAGGACCAAAAACAAGGCAATTTTATTGCTTTGTTTTTTGAAAGCTTTGCATTTTCATTATTCATTAGTTATTTGGTACATTTAAAATGCAAGATAAGTTATATAAGTAAATTAAATTTATCTTTGCTATTTAATATATCTATGTTTTTCAGATAAATTAGGGTACTAGAACTAGCACGTTCTCTACATTTAAAGAATTCTGAATGAAATTGGGTGCATCATCCATAAAATCCATTTTATCGTAAAAATCTATTTTTTCCGTAAAATATTATACTATATTTTTTATCGTAATATTTATTAAATTAGAAAGTTTTGGTTATTTTATGATAATCAGTACTGTAAAAACTATGGTATACTAAATTTGTTGTTCCTTTACATGTTCCGGTAAAAATGGAGCTTAGAGCGCCGGTACTTCTTACAGTAGTTTTGAATGAAATTTTTTACAGTGTAGTTTTCCGCTGTTCCTTTTTTCCTTTGTTTTTTTTAATTTTATACAAGTTATAATTCCTTATAAGGTTTAATATTACGATTTTCGGTACATTGTACTACATCGTTTTTGCCTTGCTGTTGGCGATCAAATATTAAAGTTGTTAACTTTAATAATAATTGATCGATTAGAAAGGCAATTTTTAAAAAGAAGGAAAAAAATAGACTTCGCAGTGCTTCGTAGCACAAAAATACGAAATTCAAACACTTAAATATTCGTTCTGCACATTAACCTTTAGAGCATTGAAAGATTTTTCCAAAACATTGCAGTAGCCAAACCACTTAAAAGTTCGAAAATTAGACATCCACGTAGTTTTCACAAGCTTTCAGCCATTAAGTGGCTGCAGAAAAAAAATAATAAACTTCTGTGATACTAGTGCAAAAGTTTCCTGTAGGTTCCATGTTCTTTCTTGTAGGTTCCATACTCCATAAACATTGGCGTGAGCAATCCTGAAGCAATGGCTATTCCTCAACTGAATATAAGCAGGAAAGGGAACATTCCAACAAATCAAGAAGGTAATAACATACCATATATTTTTATCTACATAACTTTAGTTTACCATATTGCAATGTTTTTTAGCTTAAATAGATAATGCAAAACAATTAATTTAGAATATACCGTACAAATTAAGTGTAACAAGTAAGTTTTTTAGATCTTAGTTTGTTGAAAAACTATGAAACACAGCCTTCAATAGTTTTTTTTTCAACAAATAGTGCTGTAAGCTTTGAGTAAAGATGAATTTAATCAAGTACATATATAAACGTTAAGACGCAGTATTTCACCATGTATGACAAGGTTGACAAGATATTTATCCCCTTGTCACAATTCAAAAATAATCAAGACATTCATAACCAATGTAATATTGCTTGATTTGCATGAAATCCGCCAGAATTGAATCAAGTAGAGAAACTGCGGAATATTATGAAGAGTTGTTTAGGGTAGATCAGTGTTCGGCAAAGTGCGACTCCAGAGTCGCATGTGGCTCTTTGGCTCCTTAAGTGCGGCTTTGGCACAAATATCCACGGAAGGCGCAATAATATTTCCATTAAAAAAAATTAGTAAGAAAAAAATTACATCTTATTTTGATAAATTAAAATTCTTCTATAAATCGAGAACATGTATAATTTTTTGTTTAAGTTAAAAGATAGATAGGTAATTAGAATTTTATATTGTTGTAAAAATACGTAGCGAACATCGAGTTTAATTTTACTAGTTTTTGTAAACGTAAACACAAACCATGTACAAGCTACCGGCTGAAATTGTTCGTATGTTTTCGGGGCACTCCGGTGTGATACAAAGGTACCACAAGCATGCTCGCATACTTTTTCTAAAGTAGTGGGGGTACAAATTGGATTAAAATTAAAAACAGCAACATACAAACCTGACTTACTCAAACTTTCCAAGGAGATGCAAGCACATTGTTCGCATTAATAAATATTTATTAAGTATGAAATTTAGTTTTATTTAGTGTAATAAAAGTTTACTAAGCAAGCAGATTTGGCTCCCAATTTTTTTAAAAATTGTTGTAATGTTCATATTTGGCTCTTTGGCTAATAAGTTTGCCGACCACTGGGGTAGATGGAGGAACGAAAAACAATCATGCTAAATAATAGGACAAAAATCTGGCTCCACAATTACGATATCTAAAATTTAAGCGTTGGAATCAATTGCTAAAATACTTCAAGAGCTCACTTTTATTAAAGCAAGGCGCAATTTATGTACTAATAAATAACAGCATAGAATAAAGACAAAGCAAACGTGACAAATAAAAGGTACAACAATGAACACACTATAGTTTCAGAAGAACCTTCCTCAATGTCTATACACAAAATGACAAAATATTATATTATTACTATATTACTTATAATGCCAAAATATTATATTATTACTATATTACTTATAATGCCAAAATATTATATTATATTGTCACTGAGGAAGGCTCCTAAAATCGTAACTGTCATTTAGTGTTTACAAACTAAGGAGGATTATTTTTCATAATTTATTTGTGTTTTATTCACGTTGTTTAATTTTATTAATACATAGCGCAGATGTATTCCCCGTCCTCTTTTTTGGAAAGATGGTAATTTTAAAGAGTGATTTTTCTACTTAATCAAGAAATTTTAATCTTTTACATTTTTATATTTCATGTTTCGTTTCAGTATTCCGAGTAGTGCTGTTGTGCACAGGAAAAGTGGACGCTGAAGTTGAAATATTTATGAATATGAATTTTTCGATGTTGCCTCCCTTTCCGGAAACAACGCACCTCATTTTAAAAAGAAAGAAGATATGCCACTTAAGTATGACAATAGTTTCATTCAAGGGTTTCTCATACTAAATACCAAATCATTATTTTAAACTATTCCAGCACTTTAATAATTCAAAATGGTTAAATTAACCTTAAAAATTTTATAATGGAAGGTTACATCGCATTCAGTTGCGCGATAAGTTTCAAAATAAGTTTCTCAAATTTCAAGCGTTTCGACCCGAGAAAATTGATGGTACTTTGACAAAATAAAGTTCATTAAACTCCTTAACTTTGTATAGACTATCTGAGGAATTCGCGTCCCTATGAGTCATAATCTTATTTACCACTAAGCAAATTGCATCCATATTTTTTAATGATTCTATTTCGTAACATTATAAACCACTATACATCGGCTACCTGTGGAATTTACGACCCTACGTGCCACTTTAAGCTGAATTTCATATTTGAACTTATAAATATGACCGCATTTTGAAGACATTTGTATTTTTGGACTCATTTGGTGAATTTTTTTGAAATTTGAGGATTTTTTTTATTTTTTATTGTTGGACATTTTATGAAATTTTTGAGAGATTTTCATAATTTTCGGCAATTTTTTGTAATTTTTGGAAGTACAAGCTGATTTGCCCAGCTTTATATATTTTAAGTGAGTAATACAATTTATAAATATTCCTCTAAAAAAACCAAATAATTCTAATTTATGCCAGCTTTTAGAAAAACACTCTAGTCATGTTTATGCTACTCGAATTTGCACTGCGTTAAAATTTCATCGTCAATTACCGTATTGAAACTCAGCATTAACTTCTTCATTCCAATGCATTATTTTTTATAAAGCCATTTTTTTACGTTTTTATGGACATTTTATCAAAATCCGAACTCTAGAAACTGCATCCGAATTTTTGAATTAAGAATATCTATTAAAAATATCGATTTTCCTGTTCTTTAAGAACTAATATATTTGTTGTAAAGTTTATCTGTGCAACTTTACCTACTCCTGTCTCTCGGGAACTATCAAAGACTGACGCTNTTTATTAATACATAGCGCAGATGTATTCCCCGTCCTCTTTTTTGGAAAGATAGTAATTTTAAACAAGTGTGATTTTTCTACTTAATCAAGAAATTTTAATCTTTTACATCATTATATTTCATATTTCGTTTCAGTATTCCGAGTAGTGCTGTTGTGTACAGGAAAAGTGGACGCTGAAGTTGAAATATTTATGAATATGAATTTTTCGATGCTACCTCCGTTTCCGGAAACAACGCACCTCATTTTAAAACGAAAGAAGATATGCCACTTAAGTAAGACAATAGTTTTATTCAAGGGTTTCTCATACTAAATACCAAATCATTATTTTAAACTATTCCAGCATTTTAATAATTCAAAATGGTTGAATTAGCCTTAAAGATTTTATAATGGAAGGTTACATCGCATTCAGTTATGCGTTCAAAATAAGTTTTTTTAAATTTCAAACGTTTCGTTCCAAGAAAATGGATGAAACTTTTACAAAATAAAGTTAATAAAACTCCTTTACTTTGTATAGACTATCGGTGGAATTTGCGTTCCTACGTGTCATGTTCACATTTACCACTAAGCGAATTGCATGCATATTTTTTAAATGATTTTATTTTATAAGAAGCGTAATACCCGTGGTTTGCACCATAAATCACTATACATCGGCTACCTGTGGAATTTGCGACCCTACGTGCCACTTTAAGGTGAATTTCACATTTGAACTTATAAGTATGACAATTGTATTTTTGGACTCATTTGGTGCATTTTTGTCCTTTGAGGATTTTGTTATTTTTTATTGTTGGACATTTTATGAAATTTTTGGAATTTCTCTTAATTTTAGGAAATATTTTGTAATTTTTAGAAGTGCAAGCTGATTTGCTCTGCTTTATATATTTTAAGTGAGTAATGCAATTTATAAATATTCCTCTAAAAAAACCAAATAATTCTAATTTATGCCAGCTTTTAGAAAAACACTCTAGTCATGTTTATGCTCCTCGAATTTGCACTGCTTTAAAATTTCATCGTCAATTACCGTATTGAAACTCAGCATTAACTTTTTCATTCCAATTCATTATTTTTTATAAAGCCATTTTTTTACGTTTTTATGGACATTTTATCAAAATCCGAACTCTAGAAACTGCATCCGAATTTTTGAATTAAGAATATCTATTAAAAATATCGATTTTCCTGTTCTTTAAGAACTAATATATTTGTTGTAAAGTTTATCTGTGCAACTTTACCTACTCCTGTCTCTCGGGAACTATCAAAGACTGACGCTATAGCTTGAAGTCACTACGCTGCATAGCTCAGTTAATTCTCCAGGGGTCAACTGCATCAAAGTTACCATAGACTCTCAAATAACTTCTGCCTGTCCCTTGGTGGTCCTTAAGCGATCAAAATGTCCCTATAGGATAGAAGGGAAAAGAATGGAAAAATCTGAACCACTAGCGAAAACGAAAATTTATCTAAAATAGTATGAGGATATATTAATCCGTTAAATCCGTCATTTCTTTTTCTTTTTCTCAATTTGTTTTTAAAGAGTGATTAGAAGATTTGAGAACAATGTTACCATATTTGACGAACAATATGTTACCATATTTATATTTTGAAGAAACGAAAACCTTAACACTTTATTATATAGTGTTTATTATTGTCTTCAAATACTTTGATAATTTTCAGTAAATTTCGATAATTAATTTTTAATAATGTTAGTTAAACTTAATTTTTAATTAAAATTAGATGCCATTAAGCATAAAACTTCAAAAAACCTTTTTGTATGCATTCTTATTTTTATAATTACTCAGCATTTTTGCATAAAGCCTAGTTTCTTTTTTTTTACAAGCATTTAGCCACATTTGCATAAAATTTGGAAATCGTATTTTATTGCTGCCATTGAATTACTCTTATAAAACATTGTTCTCAATATTTACATATAACCTGATGAGTTTTTTTCTTGGGGAGGGGGGGGGATTTTTTTATTAAGTTTAAGGCGTCACAAAAAATTTTTGTATTTTCAATAATGGTTTTCTTTTAACGTACGCAAAAATAGTTAAAACTTATTTCCACTAACTCGAAGATATTTAAGGAAAACACATTTTGTTAATATTATGAGAATAACAACTTTATTTTATAACCGTAGTTGAACAACCGACCCAATTTTTGGGTTTACGACTACCAATGTCCATACCCGTAGCCTTGTAATTTTAAACTCAAACCAGAAGACAAAGGAACTCCAGGCTCAAGTATTAGGAGAAATTTCCCCTTGTGGAGGACTTTTTAATTGAGCTAACTCACATTTGCTTTACATGGAGGAGAAAAGCCTCCCACGGTTAGCCGGACGGCAGGAGAACTCTAACCCATGATTCATCTACCACTGAGGATATTTTGCGTTGGCACTGTGGTCAGTCCGAGCCGGGTACTCACTGGGATTCAAACCCAGGTCATCTCATTGGAAGGCTAACGCTCTACAGCCTGAATTACCATGGCATGAGAGTAACTATTATGAGATTAAATAGCTTAGTGTTTTGTTCTAGTGAAGTAAGATAACCCTAAACGAGAGTTACTTTACAACACAAAATAATTTCGCCCAAACTGTAGTTAAAAAAGGCTAATTGATTTACATTTTGATTCGATTGCTCTAAACTGAAGCTTTAAATTCGCATGACTTTCTGCATCTGAATCTTTTATCAACTTTTAAAAACCTTTTTGTCTCAGTTTGTTGATATTGGGTGGTTGTTAATATTTCATTATTTAGGGACTACATAAGTTTAATAAAGTTCCATAATCAAATAACATTACAAAAATTAATCAAGTATAATTACAAGTAATTTATTGTTAACTAGCATACTGAAAAATTTCTTTTTTGCTTTTGAACTATTTTTCAAAAAATTAAAATTCAAGAAAAATATTTATCTGTTTAGTCCTTTATAAATTAAAAGAAAATAAAATTAATCTGAATCTAAAACTACTGTTGAAGTATTAAATAAAATGCAAATATTTTTGATCTGTATCGAGTTTGTAAAATCCTGCAAAAATATGTTTGATTAAAGATAATATGAAATATTCAATTTAAGCCATTTTCTAATTAAAGATATGCAACATTAAGAAAATAATTGATTTATCCTTCATTTAGTCTTATTTAAAATTAGCAAATATTTATTCATCGAAAGCAAAACAAAATATTAGAGCATGAAACTGAATTTAAATGTCCACAGAAAGTTTGTGCAAATATTGAATTTAAAAAAGACAAATGATTACATCGATATCTGAAAGTGAAAGTGATTAAGAAACATCCTTTTTAAAATAAAACTAAATAAACTTTATTCACTTTCAACGAGTCATCTCAATGAAGTTAAACAAGAATGAAAAATGATTTTTCAAACGAATACAGAATTAAAGAAGCTCTGATACAACTAAACTTCTTTTGAAAACTATTGAAAATCGTTTTATCTTTTCCAAATGAGTTTTCCAGTGCAATTTAATTTGCCCGCATGCATAAACACTCTATGACATCAATATTTACTTTAACCCTTTTTTTTACTTTGTTTTCAATTACAGTTACCTTTCTCAAAGTGATATTTTATTCTTTTAAAGAAAATTATCGATTATTTGCTAAATCAATTTCAATTTTGCATGTCTCTAAAAAGGGAGTAAAAAAAATAATTTTTCTAACAAATAAAATGTTTTGCTTTGTTTTTGTAAACGGGATAATCAACAATCTATTCTTGTTTAAATATTCGTATGCATGAAAAATTTTGAAATTTTTAGCAGATGAAGAAGTTTTTAGATTGAAGGTTTTCTTTTAAATTCCTTATTTTTCTTTTTTGGTAAGTTTTTCGCTTTAAACTTTTAAAATTTCCCTTAGTTGAAAACTGTTGCTCTAATGTAGAATATTTTTCTAATTCAAAGAAATGCCATAGAATGGTTTATTTTATTTGAAATATATCATACAACATTATGTGATATGCAATGTTATTCAATATTTCGAGGAAAAAAAATTCATGATAAATCAAATTGTATAAAAAAACAAATACTTTTTTTGACAGGACGATTTCATTAAAAAAAGTTGTTGGTTTTCTAATTCCTAGTTTCAAACTTTTGATGTAGAAAAAAAACTTAATTCGACAGTTTTTGGGCAAAATAATAACAATAATAATAATAATAATTCTATAGCCCAGCTTCTTAAACTAATATGTGTACCCCAAAATAAAGTTACAAAAAATTTGCATTATATTGTACTCTTTAAAAAGTAATTTTGTTTTTTTTTCAATATTAATAGTATAATATAAATATTATACTATAATGAATTTCCTTTCTTAAACATTTTTGTACTCTCAACACTTTTAAGTGAAGAAACAAATGTTTTCCATATTAGTTAGTTTTATAACTTTAACGACTCTTTATGTAGAAGTTAGAATTAGTCTATAATTTTTCATAGACAACTTCACATTTAAGCCGCCTAATCCTTATATATTTTAACAGCTAATACAGTAAGGCCTCTTTGGGAGAAAATTCGATTGATTTTACGCTGCAGTTTTTGGTTGGGGTCCTTTCGATTATGGTGCTTTCGATTTCTTATTATCGAAAAGGTAAAGATATTGTTTAACGAAGAAGAAAGTATCTGATTTGAAAGAAGGCCATATTGACAGTAAGCCAGAACCAAAACTGGTTTGCAAGATCTCGATTCGGCAATTTTGATAGTGAAGATGCTCCGCGTTCCAGACGTTCAGTTGAAGCTGATGATGACACAATAAGAGCGATAATTGATTAAAATCAACCATTAATGGTCATTTGAAACGCCTAAGTTTAATCTGAAAGCTCGGCATACGGATTCCTCATGCTCTTACGTAAAGAAATTTGTGCACCGTCGAGTTCTTGTCTCAACGCGTCGCTGATCAAATCTAAAAAAAATTATTAATTTTTGAAGCGCATCATTACTGAGGCAAGAAATGGGTTGTCTGCAACAATGTTAACGGTCTCTACAAACTTTTCAAAAGAGGAGGTCAAAAATCACCTGGATCAGTATTTTGCTAGCAAAGAACAAAAAAAATTTGATCGTAGTACCTTGCAACTGCCAGATGGATGGCAAAAGGTGGAATGAAATGGAAAATATATTAAAACGAAAAATCTATTATAATTCTATTAAATATTTTTTCACTATAAGAAAATTATCTTTCCTTATGCATATATATGAAAAATAAGAAATCACTTTCTAAACAACCCGTGGCTAAATTAATCTTTATATTATATATGAAATATGATAATTACTGAACATTCTCTATACTGAGAGATGTAATATTTTTCATTTTTTTTCAGGAAATGATTCTTCGATTGATACTCTTATGATTGGTAAGTGTTACCTTAAATATTTATCAATATAATATACTATTAAAAGCAAAAATTAAATTAAACCTAGATACAATCCAAATATTATATAATGTATTTTCAAAAATAAATGCTTGCATTTTCAGTGTACTTATAAAAAAAATACAATATCATTTACATTAATTTCATTTTTCTTTTTGCATTACAAAAAGCGTTTCTTAAATTTTTGCACATATATAAGAACTATAAGTACCATGCAATGCAAATAAAATTTTGTATTTTTTATGTATTAGAAAAAAAATATTATATAATTCTATAAAATGTAATATAGAACGAAAATTTCACATTTTATGTTTTTTTTCTAAAATAACAACTTTTATGAAAAGGAATTTTAATCAGTAAATAATTAATTGCTAATCACATAATTTGGATGTGAATGTTTGAACCTAAAAATTATATCCTAGTTTCTGAAAAAAAATATTACCTTATTTTTTCTAACCTTTGCATTTTCAGCAGGAATCACGATTTTTCCCCTTTATATTTACTGCAAAATTTTTGAAAAAATTCATTGCTAATTCCATTTTTAATTAATTGCAAATTTAAGCAATTTAATGAAAAAAATATTCCACTAATTTTATCTAGAATAGCTTCAATTATATAATTTTTGCCTACACATACATTCCAGCGATACAGCGAAATTAAAATTACGGATCTCCTGACTAAGGTATTAAAACTATATTCTCTAAATTGCAACCCTTTTATTGAAATTGGAAATAAGTATGTCATGGTGGGTTGTTACGGCAGCGACTACATAAAGCTTCTTAACTTTTACCAGACCTAGGTCTACATTTGTGTTCCAAACCTGCTCCTATTTACTTTTGCGAATTCTCGTCCCATCCCCCACCCTGTCCCACGTTGTCATCCCAGATATACTCCAAAATTTAAATTTTGTAGAAAAAAATAAGAAACTTCAGTTAATTTTATATATTTGCTCAATTTTTAAGTATTAAAAAACTAGATTTCTAAGTATTATTCCATCTAGGGTCAAACGTTTACATCTGATTAGATAAACTAAAAGTATAAAACTGTCGCCTTAGACTGGTCCAAAAATGAAATAGGTTTCACTCCAAAATAAGCTAAAACTTCTGTTCGAAACTACCTCAAAATGCCGAATGATTAATCTTACCTCTGTACTTTTAAAAACAAAATTAGATGAACGTTGAATCAAATTATGTTGCTTATTTGTTACTACCTAAAATTTTAGGTTTAAACCATACTTCGAACCAACTTTAGCCATGTCATCGTGTAAGCAGCTAAAAGGAGAAATAATTTGCACTGTAATATGGTTTAATTTATCATCTTAATAAGATTGCAATAAATTCAGATTTAACTTGAGCTTATATATCTTATAAAGTATGGTATAATTTTTTGGTAATTTTAAGCTACAATTTTAGTTCGTTTTTAAGCAACTGTTTTAATTTTAGGTTAACTTATCCCACTGCTGTATATGAAAGAAAGTTAAAATATATGTAGTATTATTTTTTATCATAAATTCTTAAAAACTAAACTGTTTCGTCAATTTAGCAGATGCTATGATCGCCACAGCTAGCTCTCTATATATAGCAGTTGGTTGCGCTTTGGGCTTCCTGTTGGTTTTGAGCATGGTAGTGACTCTCTTCTGCTTTAGAAGACACAAAATTCGGAGATCAGATGCTATACAGTAAGTAGTTTATACCAATAACAAATTGTTCCATGTGTTACCATACCATATACAAAATATACTACATTGCCATATATTTCTGGAATTTGTGAAAAAAATATAGATGTCTCAAATTAATTCTTAAGCGGGGAAAAAACAAAAGCGTTATCGAATTATAACTAATCACTATTTATTTTCGACACGGCGTTAAGCGTTCACCAAAATTTATTCACATTAAGTGAGTTTACGACTATCAATGTTCAACTCAGTAACCTTATAAATTTGAGCCCGACCCAGAAAACAAGAGAATTCTTGGATCGAGCATTGGAGCAAACAAGCTTTCATAGGAACTTTTTGGTGGAGTTACATAGAGAGGAAAACCACGAAAATCTCCCACGGTTAACCCGACGACAAGGGGATTCTAACACATGACTGAGGATATATTACGTCAGCTTGGTGGTCAGTGCCACGCCCAGGGAGCAGAATTCGCAACAACCAATTACCTCTGGGATTCAAATTTGAGACACCTCATTGGGAGGTGAACGCTCTACATGATGAGCTACCACGGCTCACGCTCATAGGGAGATGAGACAAACAATATCAAAACCTACTTGATAGCAGAAGGAAACAAAGAAGAATTTATATTCGATGAGTAGAAACACCTCCAAGTTTTATTCAATCAACTGGTATTGATGTTTTCCCTTCCGTATTCATGTTGTTACAACATTCTCATTAGTGAAAATTTTAATTTGCGAACCGCAATGTGCATAATTTTTTGTCTTCATGTTTGATAAGCACATATTATTATAAATATAATATAATAAGAAAGACTGGGGGAGAAAGTAGGGTCAAAAACTTAAAAGTTGATTTGCTATATTAACACTTGTAAGCAATGTGCATCTCTATCATTCTTAACATAAATTTTCTTTTCATTTTTTTCAGTTATGGCGGCAGCTCTCCAGCATTATCGGTAACGACGCAAGGTCATCCCTTTTTAAGAGCAGATACGCCGAATAATAATAGTACTGTAAACAGTAAGTAGAATTACTATAAATAAAAAGGAAATCCTTGAAAAAATTCCGGATCAAAATGCGGTAAGAAGTACTGGCACCCTCAGTGCAACATCCGTGAAATACATTTTTACTATAAACTTTTATACAGTAATTTTTACAAAAAAAATTATTCATTAACAGTGTTACAATAAATATTACTGTAAAAAACATGGTATGTCAGCTATTTTGTTCCATATAATTTTACAGTGAAATGGATTTTATGATAAAAATTACTGGTACCCTGAGTGCCGATAGTTTTTACCGTAATTTGATTCAAATTTTTTTACAGTGTGCAACCATCAATAGTGTAATGTAATAAAAGTGTATTTCTTACCAATGTTCCCATATATTTTTAACAAATTTTATATCTATAAGATAGAGCATAAAACCCATATCTAATCAAAAGATTTCAAAATTTTGTCTTCGAGGGTATTCAGGTACCTTAATTTAATATAGCAGCATAAAAGTAACCTTTGTTCTTTAGACATTATGCAAATGACGTACTGTGGGTGTCTCAATCCTAATTAGTTGTTGAAATTTGTTACGTTAGCTACTGGTCTTTCTCTTCCATTTCAAGCCAGTCAAGTATTAATTCTCTTAGGTGATACATTCTATATTCTTTCACAAAGATTATTTCACGAACATTTCAGTTCTTTCATAATATATTTCTTACTTAAAGACAGGTACAAAGCCAGGTAGAAGATAAACTAACTGATTTTGCATTGAAGTTTCCTGGTACACAAAGCAAAAATATTTCATAGCTGCAATAAAATACATTAACAAATCATAAATCTAAGTTAAGTAAAAAACATAGACGCGAAAGAATTATATTTTAACAAATTCGATGTGCGAGGTGGCCTTGTATTTAATTAACTTCACGATAATTAACATTCTAACTTATGTGGAGAAACTTAACTCAATTTTAACATGCCATCTTGTTTAGAAACGATCAGCTATAGCTAAGGGCATAGGTCGCGTGACTGGGTATCAGAGATCGTCTTCTTCTCGAATTGCAAGTTTCCAATGCTTTTAAAATGTATAAAGTTTCTCTATATGTTTTTTTACTAAACGTGCTCTTAATAGGCATTAACAATTTTAGGTTATGCAAGCATTAAAATTTATACCCCCATTACCAACACCACATGCATGGCCCCAAGTGAATTTAAGCCTCTGTGGGATCCGAGGGATGTTTCTGAACAAGTTGCTAAAATTCGAATAGATAAGAGAAAAATCAACCTCCGAGAGAAATTACAAGAAGGTAAGATTCTTTGATTCTGTTTCCATCAATACTTGATCTTATTCTTGGGTTCTTGAATGGAATGTTTCTTTTTCATTTCTCCTTTAGGGACTTACGGTCAAGTTTATAGTGCCATTATCAGAGATGACGACATGATAGTGCCCCACAGCTTACCCACATTTATAAAAACTGTCACAAGTAATGTTAAATCTCTATGTTCTTAATCATTTTTTTTTTAAATTTTGGATCCATTTTTAAAATACTGTAGTTAACCTATATACACTGAAGAGCCAAAAAAAAACTGGTACAGGAATGAGTATGCAAATAAAGGGGTATGGAGCCAATCAAAGTACAGCGCTACAATCGGCAATGCGTTTATAAGACAACGAGTGTCTAGCACAGTTCTTAGATCGGTTACTGCTGCAACAATGCCAGGTCATACAGATTTAAGTGTGTTTGAAGGTGGTGTTACAGTCGGCGCACGGGAGATGGGACATAGCATCTCCGAGATAGCAATGAAATTTGGATTTTCACGTACGACCATNGCCCCACAGCTTACCCACATTTATAAAAACTGTCACAAGTAATGTGAAATCTTTATGTTCTTAATCATTTTTTTTTTTTTAAATTTTGGATCCATTTTTAAAATACTGTAGTTAGCCTATATACACTGAAGAGCCAAAAAAACTGGTACAGGAATGAGTATGCAAATAAAGGGGTATGGAGCCAATCAAAGTACAGCGCTGCAATCGGCAATGCGTTTATAAGACAACGAGTGTCTAGCACAGATCTTGGATCGGTTACTGCTGCAACAATGCCAGGTCATACAGATTTAAGTGTGTTTAAACGTGGTGTTATAGTCGGCGCACGGGAGATGGCACATAGCATCTCCGAGATAGCAATGAAATTTGAATTTTCACGTACGACCATTTTACGAGTATACCGTGAGTATCGGAAATCCACCAAAATCCCCAGACATGAACATTATTGAACATATTTGGGATACCTTGCAACGTGATGTTCAGAAGATGTCCCCCCCCCTTACTCCTACTGGTTTATGGACAGCCCTGCAGGATTCATGGTGTCAATTATCTCCAGCACTACTTCACACATTGATCGAATCCATGCCACGTCGTGTTGCGGCACTTCTGCGTGCTCGCGGGGGGCCCACACGATATTAGGCAGGTATACCAGTTTTTTTTTCTCTTCAGTGTATATTGTAGACATATTTACTGCGATAATAACTCATACAACTAGAAATGAGTTAAGCTGTTTTAAATAAGCTTTTAGGCCATGGTAGTTCAGTAGTTAGAGAATCGACCTCCGGTCCGTGGTTCGATCCTCGATTCCGATAAGACCCACCGAATACATGCAACATACGTGTTCGTAAAATCTATGGAATAGAAACTCATGTGGTCGGTTGCTGAGCAGTAGCATGGGTGCAGAGATCTGGAGAAAACTTCCTTCCACTTCAAGTATATGTCTAAATAGAGGAAGAGACCTCACGAATGAATGATGCTGCCATCTATCACGTAGATTTTGAGTTACAACGTACTTTAACCTCTGCGATACTCTCTTGTCAAGTGAAAGGCGCACCTTTATGATTTAATTCTCAAGGGCCAATGGCTGGCGTTCTTGGCTTGTGCAAGTGTCATAATAAACAAAAAATAAGCCTTTTTTTTAGATAGAGAGTAAGATATTTTTATCTAACATGTTATATCTTGTAAGATACGAAACCATGTTCGTTACAAGATAAGAAACTCAGAACTTATATTATTTTTCAGTTTCTAAAAAAACTACAAAGGTACAAGGAAAGTTCTAATATGCATGAACTTAAGAGGACGCTGTACCACGGGAGAAACCTTTCGTCACAAATTCTCTTTCACCTTCATTACTAATTTAAAACTTAAAAAAAAGAAAAAGTAAATTCAGGCAATCCTAGAGTAAGCCATAAAGTATCTATTGTTGAAAAAAAATTAAAAATGTGAACAAGTTATTGGACTAGAACTTCTTTATTGCATAATCCTAAGTTTTCCTCTCATAATTTATTTTCATTTGGATATTTTGAAAATTTCGTTTTAGTATTTGAAACTTGATGGCTTTACTCTAAATTTGCCTGAACTCACTTTTCTATACTTTAAATAAGTTACGAGGATGAAAGAAATTGGCAATGAAAAGTTTATCCTGTAATATAGAGTCATTTTGAGTTCTTTTAGATTCGGCACTTATTAGAATTTTGTCCCGCAGTGGACTGATCTTTAAGACACGGTTCCCACCAGATCACCGAAGTCAAGCATCACTGGCTGCGGTCAGTGTGCGGGTGGGTGACCACTTGGATCAGTCTGCGTAGGGATCGAGGGTGTGCGGTATTGGTCCTCGTTAAACTGTGCTACCGTAAAGTGCTCGACTTCGCGCGCAGGTCGTCGGGCTACCGAAGCGGGGGTGCCATCCCCTCCGCAGAGGATCAAAATTGTGATGGCATGTCTTCGGATCATCCTCCGGGATGTTTCCCAGACCGTCACCAATAGCCCATTGTGCAGCTCTAGTGCGACGTAAATTAAGAACAACAACAACTTATTAGAATTTTATGGTTAATAAAAATAACAAAGAACTGTTTTTCCTTCTGTAACAGAAAACTATTTTTCGTTCTTTTAGATTCGACAGTCATTAGAGTTTTATGATTAATAAATAGTTTAATAAGTTATCAAAAAATGTATCGAATAGTTCTTGTAAATAAAAAAATATATAAATAAATTGAATATAGATAAAATTGCATAGTAGAGCTGGGAGATATATCGTATATTTAAACCCGATATATTGAAACTTCCTAATAACGAAATTTGAAAATGTATTCTAATTATATATTATGAATACAGTGCAAAACGATAAATATCAAATTTGGAATATTTATAGATAACAATAAATATCTATTAATATAAAGTTGCGATTTGCATTGCTAACCATAATTATCATATTCGATATCAACGTGAGTGTTCAAAAGTTCTATTAGAGTGACAAAAATATTGACCTTTTAAAAATTAAAAGAAATAATTAATTTTAGAAAATATTGCTCTATATCGAGAATTATCGTATTTCTTGACAACTCAGCGTGGTATATAATTAAAATTTTGGAATCACCTAGCAAAAGCGTATATATTAGTTGTAGTAGTAAAGAAAAAATAGGCTATAGAATGGTAGTCTATCTTTTTACTACTAGCTAATTTCGCTCTATGTTTCTCTTTTTTAATAATCGGAAATAAAATTTTACAGAAGTGTGCAAATCTAGCTAATTTGAAAGCTTTACGAGTTTTATTCCTATATATACAATTTAAATAGAATAAAAAGTAAATAAATTGAAAACTGAGAAAATGGTTTCATTCTCCAAGTTAAATGTATTTTCAGACCAAGCCAATTCAGCTCAAATCTCTCTGCTCATCAAAGAAGGAATGAAGATGCTGGGTCTAAAACACGAGTTCATCTTGCCTCTGATTGGTCTTTGTACAGAAGATCCCCTGCATCCAATGCTCATTTATCCCTACACCAGCAAGGGAAATCTCAAACTATTCCTCCGGAAATGCTCCGGAGATCCCTGTCACGTGAGTGCTATACTTTTATATTTACGCGTAAAGCAAATGTTTTGCTACAATAAAAATCTTAGAATCGATATTTGTTTTATTTTTTTCCAAAATCTGAAGATTTTGCTAAATAAATAAAAAAGTAACGTTGTTATTTTGCAGTTTTATAATGGTATTTTATTTCTATCACTTTCTAATGTACAGTCAGCAAAAAAAATGGACCATCCTGATTAACTTTTGATCTAATGACGGGATTTTCACGTTATAGGACTCAATCTAGGTTCGAAGGGGTGACCTCAAACATGGTGATTAATAAGTGCAGACTATAAATTACTAAATCAAACACAAAAACGTACTTTCTCTGAAAAAACGTGCTTTTTTCCCCCTCGGATTCGGATTTCTGGCCCCTAAAACATAGGGGTCACCTCATTCTGGGAAATACGGCTCCAATAGTTTGATCGAATTTTAAATATCTGACTTTTTTGAATTATAATTTCTCAGGAACTATTCAACGGATTTTGTTCACATTTTGTATTTTTCAACGTGAAATTATTTTCTTTAAAATGATGCAAATAATTATATACCTTACAATTCAAAATTTTTCCGACCATTATTAAATAAAATAATAAAACATGAACAAAATTTTAAAAAAAAATTTTTTTGTGTGGAATTACCTTTGGATAAACGAATTTTATAATTTACTTAAAAATTTCTCGAGATATGCCGAAGTACGCAAAAAGTAAAATTAACATTAAGGGATCCAAACTTTGAACCACTCTCCTGATCAAACTATTTAGACCCTAATTTCCGGATTGTAGCTGTCCCCTATATTTTGGGGTTCAGAAACCGTAATCCATAAAAAAAGGTATGTTTATTGATAGAAAGTACGTTTTTTAGTCTGATTTTGTAACTTAAAATATCGTTTGCACTTATTAATTAGCACGTTTGTAGTCATCATCTCGAACCATTAAGAGTGAAACGTGAAGATCCGTTCATTAGATCAAAAGTTATTCAGGGTCCGGTTTATTTTCTGCACTGTACACTGCAAATAGGTGCAGATAACAACGTTTACTAATAATTTTATTCTTACCGCTAAACTATATTATTTTTGAAAGACGTGGAGGGAGTCTTTGGTGATGGTAAAACGAACTTGATGCTGCACCCGTTTGAGATGAGACAAAAATAGAATTATTTTCTCTTTTAAAGTCGACTTGAATAACGCAAAAATAATAATTATATTTCATAATTTTGCTTTCTTCATTTTAGTTTCGCGTCTGTCTGTAAAAATTTTCCTCCACTATCAGGGGTCTGTTTAGAAGAAATTTGGGTCCGTTTACGGACAAAAAATATCTTTTCATAAAAACGGGCTCTTCACAAAAAAATTTAAATTAAAAACGGACCCTTCACAAAATGATTTTTTTTTGATCGGACCCTTCACAAATTTGTTTATCTTCATTATTATTTTGTTAATCGAATAAACCCTTTCCAGGGCAGAAAACAAGAAAGATGGATGTAAACGAATTAAGTTTTGACGCTGGCAGACGATTCTTCCATTATTCGTCCGAAATTAATATTCTGCGTTCAGCAGTATAGGCTAAATACCAAATATTTGTATGTTGCATCTCTAATTTAGAAGCAGCAATTGTTGTTTATTTTTTAAAATTTAATTTTTTTAATTATAATTTTACAGTGTTGAGCATAATCTTGTATGTCTTTACAATTTAAAAACTCCTTGAAAAAATTTTTTTTTTGCAATAACGGACCCTATTTGCACAAATTCATAAAAGCGGACCCTGGTTGAAAGAATGTGAGTAATTTTTTCTCAATTTCACGAAAAACGGACCTTTCAGAAAATGTCTGGACAGACCCCTGACAAGGGGTTATGTATCAAAAATGGTAGTAAATACTTTTCAAAGTAATGTTCTACTGCATCAAAACCCAAGGGATGCTAAAAAGCAGCTCAAATGTTCTTTTACACTACTCGGTGTAAAGTAGCCATCACTAACCCCATATTTGTCATTTAGTAACAGTAAAAGTTATAATTACAGTAAGATATGAAACACATATGAATCAGTTAAGTTATTTTTTCGAGATAATATAAAGTCAGAATCAATAAATAGGTTACATACATATTCTAATTCTTAAATTAGGGTGGGTTATAAATCAAATACGCATCTGCAGAAACTTCAGTTTCTGCAGATGAAAAGCAACATTGAAGACAATTGCAAACACTCGCCAACTCGTTCTCAATTGTAAACAATTACTAATGAAATCAAATCGTGCCAGTATGATTGTTAATCAATACTGTGTTATGAGAATCTTTTAATTTTTTCATAAATTTGTCTATTTATCCTATTTTAAGACGATACTATGTTTTTCGTCCAAACTAAAATGTGACATACATTTCAATATTCATTTGTAGAAATAGTACTATATTTTAAAAGTATTTTTCTTATATTTTTGTCAGGCTTTGATGACTATTGATTTGGTATCGATGGCCATACAAATTGTGAAGGCTATAGAATTTCTGCACGAGAGAGGAATTATTCATAGAGATATTGCAACTAGAAATTGCGTGTAAGTATTGTTTAAAATTCAAATCGAAACACATAAATTATATCGAATGGAAATGTAGAATAATTTTTGTTGTAAGAAAAAATTAATGGTTGTTTAATAATCCTAATATTCGATTTAAAAATAATATAGATTACTATTTAGCTTGTAAACTTACCTGTTGTTGCCATTTAAGAATTCTACTAATCGGCCTAAATGTAGTAAAGATAACCATTTGGTTCGTAAATTTAACTCATTATTGTTACTTAATAATCCTGTTATTCTTTTCAACGGTACATTAAGTACATCATGACACTTAAATTTATTGTATCTAATTATTTGAGAAAAACGTTTAATGGAGAAAAAAAAGATCAGTTAATTTTTTGTAAAAAAAACAGCGTCATTTTAAGGCAGATTTATTGACCAAAATAAAATATGACGGAACTGCATGATGTTATAGTCCATTTTTATGAATTAGGTACGTTAGTTTCTTAAAAATCATGACTGAATTGTTAATTTTTTTAATTAATATAACAAATTATTTTATTTATAAAAAAATTACAATTGTTTGTGCCACTTTAAGATGAACTAGTGGGGAATTTAGAGGTCTCTGAATTTCCCGGGCCTTTTTTTCGGTTACAAACCGGGTTTGTATAGCACTTTGTTTGTCAAAAATTTCTTTATGACACCTTCACTGGACAACTTTTATTTTAATTTAAACCCAATTCACTATAAATTTTCAATTAATTTTTGCTACAGTACTTAATATACAATAAACCTTTTAGTCCAAATGTCATCAGGAAGCTTTCAATTTAACTGTAATACAGGCCCAAACTGGGACTACAATATGTAAACCTTGAGGTTTCCGCATTGAAAGTAAAGAAACATTGCTTACAATGACAAAAGTTGTATAGCATTAAATATCTTAAACTTAACTTCAATACATTTATAGCTCGTTCACCAGGAGTTGGCACTTGGCTCCGCCTTCATCACGTGGTATACGACGATACTATTTCGCTATTTTTGGGAGAAGGTTGTGAGCAATCCTGAACAATGTTGCTATTTGGCGATCGTTTGGCAAAAATATTTATTTCGCAAACTTTATGTGCATTTTTTTAACAATAAATATTTCATAAATTTG